CAATGGAGAAAGATTAATGTCAAGGATTTCATTCTTCTTGAATCAACTGTTAACACTCATGAAAGCAGCAGTCCAGAAATTAAACGATGCTTTACATTAGGCAAATCTGTTGCACAAGACCTTTTTTAAGTGTTGAAGAGCAAAGATGTCAGCCTGAGGACTAAGGTGCGCCTGACTCAATCCATGATATTTTCAATAACCTCATGTGCGTGCGAAAGTTGGATAGTGAATAAGGAAGACCATCGAATTGATGCTTTTGAGTTACGGTGTTAGAGGAGAAGATTGAAAGTGCCATGGGCTGCCCATAGAACCAGCAGATCTGTGTTGGAAGAAGTACAGCCAGAGTGTTCCTTGGAGGCCAAGATGGCCAAACTTCGTCTCTCATACTTTGGACATATTGTCAGGAGGGACGGTCGCTGGAGAACGATATCATGTTTGGTAAGGTGGAAGGTCAGAGAAAAGGAGGAAGACCCCGAGCGAGATGGATTGGCTAAGTGGCAGCATCATTGGGCTCAAGCATGGCAACAGTAGCGAGGTTGGCCCAGGACCAGGCCATGTTTTGTTTTGTAGTGCATAGGGTTGCTATGAGTTGGTACCAACTGTATGATGTCTAACAAATATATATAAAATCTGTGTATTTATAAACTTAAGTAGCAATACTTTTTTGACTTACCCTTGTATTAACATTTATTAACTTGAAAGGTAAGATAATATGTGGAATACTGTTGTGGCTCTGTAGAATAAGCACTGGACTACTAACCTCAAGATTGGCTGATCAAACCCACCAACTACTCCTCAGAAACCCTGTACAGTTGCTATGAGCTGGAACTGAATTGATGGCACTTAACAACAACAAGATAGTGTATGATATAAACATCAAGAGTTATACAGTATTGGTAGTTTTTTGCCCTTGTAAAATTTGAATACTGAGAATAATTCTAGTGTCACACATTGTGAGTAACTAAATTGAATTTTATAGAATGCAAACAAAGCGTGAAAAATTTGGAGAATCGTATAGAGTTGTTATATGCTGAATCTATGTTCAGGTGAAAGACAAAGGTCTCAGGAAGAATAAAGATGATAGTAGAGACCAAAGATGATAATAGTATGTTGTCCTAGATTGGGGAGTAGAAGATAAAAGTAATTTAGATGGGATCTAAAATGATACATACCTGCTGCCCTTGGCATTTTTCTTTCTCCTGGAACCCTACTCAAGTACTAATTAGTAGCTTTTGAGTAGTTTATACTTAACTGATACCTGCTTTAAAAGTGGGTGAGCTTATTTTTAATAGGTTTCAGACAATTTGTTCTCCGTACTTACAAAACTGGGCCCCCCTTATTGTTGTGGCTAGACAGTGAGTTTCCTCCTTTGATAAGACAGTGGCATTTAAAAGAGCAAATCATTTTCCTACTCCTAGTTAAAATAATTACATGAGCCTTTCTAAAGAAAAGGAAAGTTCACAAGAACCCGTTGTTCTCTGATGAGAAAATTACATTGAATCGAATGACCTGAAAACCTTTTTTCTTTCCTGTATTCTGTTTGACAGCATGACTCTGGAACAGAGTGCACTCCTGGAGAATCTAAGAATTTAGGACAAAAAGAAAATGGCAATTATATCATGTATGCAAGAGCAACATCAGGGGACAAACTTAACAACAATAAATTCTCACTCTGTAGTATTAGAAATATAAGCCAAGTTCTTGAGAAGAAGAGAAACAACTGTTTTGTCGGTATGTATATTTTCTCAGCATTTATTTATGAATATCTTCAAACATTTAGAATACTTGGAAGATTTATATACGTACACCTACCATCCCAATTATGTAAAGAACCTCTGCCCCTTTTTTTGGATACGATTTATTTGTGGTATTTCCCACATTCTATCTGGTTGACTGTACTGACTCCAATACAGTCAAACAAATGAAATGTGGGAAATACCGCAGGACAAAATGATCCAACTTTTGAACAAATAAATGGTATAGGGGAAAAAAAAAAAAAAAAAAGACAGCGGGGAGGGATCTTTGTGTATTAGAAGAACTTCAGAGACAGGCAACCAAAAGCACTGGTGGGGTGAGGAATAGAGAACCTTGTTTGAAACTCGATCTAAATAAACTGATTATTAAGAGCTATATTTGGGGAAAACTGAACACGAATTGGACATTTGATAGTAGTGAGCATAGTATTCATTTTGTTAGATAGGCTTATGATATTGTTAAATTTGAAAAACAAAACAAAAACTCTTTATCTCTTAGAGAAATATCCTAAGTATTAACTGGATTGATAACATGTTGTTGTTCAGTGCCGTCGGGTCGCTTCCCACATATAGCAACCCTGCATAGTTTATGAGCAGTGCTGGCGAGTTTGAACTGCCAACCCTGAGATTCATACTGACCTTCAGCTCATTGCATTATCTTACAGCACCATACCAGAGAATAGTATGACTTAAATACTCCAGAAAGGGATTGTGGGGCAAATGAATTAAAGTTAAGAAGCTAAGTGATACGTACGTGGAAGTTTATTTGTCATTTACTACATTTTTTGTGTTTCTGAAACATTTATGTTGCTACTGTGGTTCAGTGCCAAAGAGAGTCAGTTCTGACTCTGAATAGGGTTTCTGAGGAGCAACTGGTGGGTTTGGCCCACCTACCTTGTGATTAGCAGTCCAGTGCTTATCCTACAGTGCCATCATAAAGGTTTAATTTTTTTCCCTGGTAGGCCAAGTACTGACTTAGTTTGTATGTGTGTGATGTAAATAGTATAGTCTTGTTTCCGTGAAGTTCAATGTGACACAGCCAGAATAGAAGAACTACTATCAGGGACCGTGAAGGGGCCCCCAAGTCAAACCCTTCATTATACAGATGAAGAAACTGAAGTCCCCCAAAGGGAAGTGACTTGCTCAAGGTCAAATGACTAGTTCCTAGTAGTAGAACCACTCTTAAAATCAGATTTCCTGATTTCCACATTCCTTACTTGTTTTCATTTTCTTATTCATCAAGAATACTTTCTCCTTTTGTTATGACACTTTAAAGAGTTTGAGAGTTTTAAATAAAGTTAATATGTGCATAAGATGGTTAATGTGTTTTATGACTTTCCCCAGAATCTGGCCTACCTATTTGTGGAAATGGAATGGTGGAACAAGGTGAACAGTGTGACTGTGGGTACAGTGACCAGTGTAAAGATGAATGCTGTTACGATGCAAACCAATCAGAAGGGAAAAAATGCAAGCTGAAACCTGGAAAACAGTGCAGGTGCTGTCCTAGTTCAGTCATGCTAATAATGTTCCTACAGAGTTACCTGCAGATAGTTGTAACAGAGGCTTAAAATTAAGTGAGATGTAGAGATGCAGGTGCTTTTGAGGTTGTCTGTATTTGTCGTTTTATTTATTCTTCTGGAATAGGCTCGATTATTGTACTGTTGTTGGCAGATTGGGCTATTTGTGTGGTGGTGGTTGTTAAGTGCTGTCAAATCATTTCCAACCTATGACCACCCTGTATAGGGTTTCCAAGGAGCAGCTGGTGAGCTTGAACCACTGACCTTGCAGTAAAAAGAGGACTTTGCAGTCTGACGCATTAGCTCACAGCGCCACACCAGGGTGTTAGTAAATAGATGCTGATAAAAGACATCAAAGGACACTCAGGAAATGACACAGTTACTAACTTTCAAAATTATTAAATTACCCTGGTACTTTTAACTATAATAGGGTATTATTTGTGTAATACTTTTAATGGCTGGTTTGTACGTCCTGGTTTTATTTTGCATGTAAATATGAGAAAGCCTGTTGAAATGATTAACATGTGATATAACTGAAAAACCTTGATAACTTGGTTAATATTTAATCCATTTTCCACAATAACTTTTTACTAAAGACAAGTAGAGTAAGAATGTTGAATATAGATAGTACGATTTGATTGAAAAAATAAGACTCTTAGTAGTGACTTTTGTATCACTTTTTAGAATGTTCAAATTTAGTAGCTTCTTATTCTAACACTGAATTCTAACACTGAATTCTAACATTAACATTTAAACTATACCAGTAATGTATTTACCATTTGAAGGTGATATTTATGATGTAAGTGTTAGGATTATATCTAAGTACATTAGAAATATCCTAGTGAACATTGGAAATATCCTAGTGATTTACTTTGTTTAATCACGCAATGTTTCTTCTAGTCCAAGTCAAGGTCCTTGTTGTACAGCACAGTGTGCATTCAAGTCCAAGTATGAGAAGTGTCGGGATGATTCAGACTGTGCAAAGGAAGGAATGTGTAATGGTTTCACAGCTCTTTGCCCACCATCTAATCCTAAGCCAAACTTTACAGATTGTAATAGACAGACACAAGTGTGCATTAATGGGGTAAGTATTTCATTTTATAAACTTTTAATTTAATTTTATTAAACCAGCTTTTTCAAAGTAATTGTTGACATTTAAAGCTACACAATTAAAGTAATCTTGGATTCTATTTAAATAATTTCCTTCTTTTATTTCTCACAAAGCCATGAATACATTGTTGTTAAGTGCCAACTCTGTGTTGGTTTTGACCCATGTTGTTATTGTAGGTGCAATTGAGTCAGTACCTACTCATAGTGACACTATACACGATAGAATAAAACACTGTCCGGTCTTGTGCAGACCTCAGAATCGCTGCTACGCTTGAGCCCATTGCTGCTGCCACTGCGCTAATTCATTTTGTTGGCGTCTTTCTCTGTTGCACTGACCTTCTGCTTTGCTTCTTCAGGGGCTGGTCCCTCTTGATAATATGTCCAAAGTCCGAGAGACAAAGTCTGGTTATCCAGGCTTCTAAGGAGCATTCTGGCTATACTTCTTGCAACTCAGATTTGCTGGTTCTTTTGGCAGTCCATGGTTCTTTGAATATTCTCCTTCAACACCATGACTCAAATATATCAATTCTTCTTTGGTCTTCCTTATTCGTTGTCTAACTTTCACATTCATATGAGCTTATTGAAAATACCATGGCTTGAGTCAGGTGTACCTTAGTCCTAAAACTGACATTTTCACTCTTCAACACTTTAACGAGGAGTCCTGGTGTGGTATTATGGGTTAATGCTCTGGACTTCCAGGTTGGTTTATGCTGCAAGGTCAGCGGTTCAAGCTCACTAGCCACTCTGTGGACAGGGTTGCTGTGAGTTGGAACCGACTCACTAGCACTTAACAACAACAACAGTGCAGTAGATTTGCCTAATGCAGTGCGTCATTAGATTTCTTGACTGCTGCTTCCATGAGTGTTAATAGTTGATCTGAGCAAAATGAAGTCTTTGACAACTTTAATCTTTTCTGTTTTCTTGATGTTATTTATTCTCTTTTCTTGATGTTATTTATCAGTTCAGTGGTAAGAATTTTTGCTTTCTTTACATTGAGGAGCAACCCATACCAAAGACTGGTCTTTGATCTTCATCAGTAAGTAGTTTAAGCTCTCTTCACTTTTCAGTAAGCAAGGTGGTATCATCTGCTTATTGCAGGTTGTTAATGAATCTAACTCCATCCTGATGCCATGTTCTTTGTTTAATCCAGGTTCTCAGATTATATGCTGAGCATACAGATTGAATAAGTATGATGAAAGAATACAGCCCTGGTGCACGCCTTTCCTAATTTTAAACCATTCAGTGTTCCCTTGTTTTGTTAAAACCATTGCGTTTTGGTCTGTGTACAGGTTCCTCATGAGCACAATTAAGTGTTCCAGAGTAGTTATTCTCCACAGTGTTGTCCATAGCTTGTCATGATCCACACGATCAAAAGCGTTTGCATAGTCAATAAAGCACAGGTAAACATTTTCTGGTATTCTCTGCTTTCAGCCAAGATCCATCTGATGTCAGCAAAGCTATCCCTTGTTCCACATCCTCTTCTGAATCCAACTTGAACCTCTGGCAGCTCCCTGTCAGTATACTGCTGCAGCCATTTTTGCATTATCTTTAGCAAAATTTTACTTACATTCAATACTAGTGAAAATGTCTGATTAATCTATATTTCCTTGGGGTCACCTCCCTTTGTAATGGGCATAAACATGGATCTCTTCTAATCAGTTGGCCAGGGAGCTGTCCTCCAAATTTCTTGACATAGACGAGTGATTGCCTGCAGTGCCATATCAGTCTGTTGAAAGATTTCAGTTTGTCTTCATTCCATCAGTTCCTGGAGCCTTGTTATTTGGCAATATCTTCAGTGCACCTTGAACTTCCTTCGTTAGTATCAGTGCTTCTAGGTCATATGCTTCCTTTTGAAATGGTTGAACATTGATCATTTCTTTTGAGTACGGTGATTTTGTGTTTCCCTTCCATCTTTTGATGCTTTCTGCATCATTCAATATTTCACCTATAGAATCATTCAGTATTGCAAGTTAAGATTTGTATTTTTTCTTTAGTTCATTCGGCTTGAGAAATGCTGAGGTGTTTCTCCCTTTTGGTTTTCTAACTCCAGATCTTTGCACAGTTCGTTGTAATACTTGACTGGATCTCCCCAAGCTGCCCTTTCTGTTCAGCTCTGTACCTCCTCATTTCTTTCATTTGCTTTAGCATCTTTGTGCTGGAGAACACGTTTTAGAGTCTCTTCTGACATCCATTTTGGTCTTTTTCTTCTTTCTTGTGTTCTTAATGACCTTTTGTTTTCTTCCTGTATAATGTTCTTGATGTCATCCCACAACTCTTCTGGTCTTTGCACAATAGTGTCTTTTGCAACAAATCTGTTCTCCAGATGATTTCTAAATTCAGGTGGGATACGGTCAAGGTCATATTTTGACTCTCATGGACTTGTTTTAATTTCTTGAGCTTCAGCCTGAACTTGCACAGGAGCAATTGATGACCTGTTCCACAGTCTGCCCTTGGCCTTGATTTGGCTGGTGATATGTTACGAATCAGGCTGCTAACTTCGGAGTCAGCAGTTGGAAACTACCAGCTGTTCCGCGGGAGAAAGATGAGGCTTTGTGCTCCCTTAGAGATTTATAGCCTCGGAAACCTTGTACAGGATCACTGTGAGTCAGAACAGACTCCACAGCACATAACCACCACCATGGAGCTTTTCCACTGTCTCTTTGCACAAATATAGTCAGTTTGATTTCTATGTATGCTGTGTGGTGAGGTCCCTATGTAAAGTCATCTTTTATGTTGTTTAAAAGGTATTTGCAATGAAGAAGTCATTGTTTTTGCAAAATTCTATTATGAGATCTCCAACATCTTTTCTGTCACCAAGTCCATGTTTTCTAATGACTGATTCTTCCTCTTTGTATCCAAACTTTGCATTCCAGTTGACAGTAATTATACATACATCTTGATTGCATATTTGTTTAATTTCAGACTGAAAAGGTGGTTGAATTCTTCAGTTTCTTTATCAGTGACTTTAGTGGTTGGTGCATAAATTCAAATAATCGTTGTATTAAGTGGTCTTCCTTGTTGGCGTACGCATATTATGCTATTACATAATATCAGTATTGTACTTCATGATAGATCTTGAAATGTTCTTTTTGCTGATGAATGCCACACCATTGTTCTTCAATTTGTCATTCCCCACATAGTAAACCTTGTCATTTTCAGATTCATTATGGCCAGTACTAGTGCATTTCAGCTTACTAATGTGTAGGATGTTGATGTTTATGTGTTCCATTTCATTTTTGACAGATTCCAATTTTCCTAGGTTCATACTTTGTACATTATTCAATGTTCTGACTTTTAATGGATGTTTATAGCTGTTTCTCCTCATTTTGAGTTGTGCTCCATCAAGAAATGAAGGTCCTGAAAGCTTTATTCCATTTGCTTCATCCTAGTCAATTCTACTTTGAGAAGGCAGGTCTTCCGCAGTCGTATTTTGAATGCCTTCCAACCTGAGGGGCTCATCTTTCTAGCATTATATCTGACAGTATTCTGGTGCTCTTCATCATGTTTCCCTATTCAATATTCTGATGCTGACTGTGTTCCACTGCCATTCATAAAGTTTTAGTGATCAAATATTCAGAAGTAGTTCTTCTCTCTCCTTCCTAGTCTGTCTTAGTCTGGAAGCTCGGCTGAAACCTGTCCACCAGGGTGACCCTGCTGGCATTTAAAATACCAGTGGTATCGCTTCCAGAATCACAGCATGCTCGCCACCACATTAAGACATACAGACACATAGAGACCCTATGTAGCACCTGCTTAGTTTGAACTGCCAGCTTTGTGGTTAGCAGTCCACTGTGTATCTTATACTCCATACCAGGATTAGGTGGCATAAATGTCAAATGGCATTTGATGAGTTACTGTCATGTCTTTCATGTTTCACCTGATTTTGCTTGCTGTTCTCTAGAGAAACATAGTTGCATCACTAGGCATGTGACATTATCTATACTTTAAGAAATAATTACTATTTCAGTGACCAAAATGAACTCTTCTGATTATTTTCTATGAATGTAAAGCCTTCTAATCTTTCTTCATTAAAATCTACCTTTTTCTTTATGAGCAGAATCTTATTTTTTACTTCTTATAAAGCAGCCATCATGTAATCAACAACAAAAAATGTTCATCTGAGCTTTCTGTGCTGTGGCTGTATTTTTTTTTTTTTTTAAGTTGGCATGTTTTTCAGCAATTTACTATCTTACTGTATTTATTCTTTCTGATATGCTTATTTGATCCATTTCTCCTGTGAATCCATGCTTTGTAGGAAAGACTTTAACTTAAATAAAACTTGTATTTCTGTTTAATTATTTTGGCATTAGGAGCTTGGACCAGCCAGCCTAGCACAGTGACTAATAGGTTTGACTGTAGAACAATGAAATAATTTGTCTTTTACCTTTCTTCCAGCAATGTGCAGGTTCTATCTGTGAGAAACATGGCCTGGAGGAGTGTACCTGTGCCAGCTCTGATGGCAAAGATGATAAAGAATTATGCCATGTTTGCTGTATGAAGAAAAGTAAGGCTTTTAAATACAAGCTTATAAAATCTGCTTCAAAAATTATTATATTCTTAAATTTTAGGTGTTAAACTTTGATATACAATTTGGACAAGATAGTCTTTATCTAAGTCTGTTCTCATGAGAAAATTTTAAAATGTAGCATAACATCATTCCTCTAGCATTATGGTCCGTTCAGTGCTTTTAAAATGACACTCTTGACAAAAAATTGCTAGCTTTATGACAGTGTATTTAAACACTGGTAGCGTAGTGGTCACGAACTGGGCTGCAAACCACAAGGTCAGCAGTTCGAAACTACCAGCTATTCTGCAGGAGAAAGATGAGGCTTTCTGTTCGCATAAAGATTTACAGCCTTGGAAACCCTGTACAGGGTCGTTATGAGTTGGAACTGACTCCATGGCACAGAACAACAACAACAGAAGGATTTTAAGCCATTATAGGCACAAAGTAAAGAGTAGGAGGTTGTTTATGTTGCAGTATTTAAGGTGGTATCCAGGCTAAACTAATGAGGTCTGTACAATATTTTATGGTGATGATTTAGGCAGTTTCTTTTCCCTCTCTCCTTCCTACCTTTCCCTCCCTCTATCCTTACCTCCCTCCCCAACTTGCCTAATAGTAAATCTATTTTTCAGCTTACATTTGGTACTTCTTTTCCAGTGGAACCATCAACTTGTGCCAGTACAGGGTCTGTGCAGTGGAATAAACAGTTCCATGGTCAAACCATCACCCTGCAACCTGGATCCCCTTGCAATGATTTTAGAGGCTACTGTGACGTTTTCATGCGGTGCAGATTAGTAGATGCCGACGGTCCTTTAGCTAGGCTTAAAAAAGCAATTTTTAGCCCAGAGCTCTATGAAAACATTGCTGAATGGATTGTGGTAAGTATAGTTTTTATTGATACAGAAACGTTACCTTAAATAGATTGACCATAGTTTTACTTAGTCTGAGAATATCAGTGTTAAAAGAAAAACTTCTTCCTTTTTCAGAGTGATCCTGGATGTTATATTTTTTTCTAAGTGATCAAAATCTAGACATGTGTATTGTTCTTACGTTCGTTGATTGGTTAGATAATCCAAATCATCATATTTTATTCTACAACCTAGTTCATCTGTGGGATAAGTTACTTTCTCCTTTGCTTGGTCTAATAATTAGAGCATTTTAATGGGACATTTTCCTTAAATTGTGTCAAGTCCTGCATGTTCTTTATTCTTCTCCATTGTCTCATTATGGCAGATAGCTAGGTATGGGTTCTACTTTGCTGAGCAAGAGAGATGAAGGAGAAATTGGTGGTTCTCTCTGATCTCTCTCACTATAAATTCTGGATCTTCATCCTGTGAAGTGATAGGAAATGTTGAATAGGGTAAGCTCAGATATAGAGCCTTTTGCAGGTCTGTTAATGATTGTGATGTTCATCCAGCATAGATCCGCTGAACTGTATTCATTTTAAGCCTGTATTTCTCCATTTAAGTACAAATGTTGAATTACTTCACATTTTTTTAAGGGATTGCTGAGAATTACTATCTCAACTCACTTAAATATTCATGCTTTTTAAGTGATTACATTGAAACATCAGTAGGAAAATTGCAAGTGATGCAGTTGAGGATGTGCTATACTTGAACTACTTGCCTTGGAAATTGACTTAAACTCAGGCTCCCTCCCCAAATTCTTTCTTTGTATATATATATATATTTTTAATTCAGGATGTGAGGATGCTTTTAAAAGTACTTTACGATATTGTTGTCTGTGTGGGTTGTCAGTCTTGTAATACCATTCTACAGTAAAAAAGTTTGGAACTGTCCCCAAGGTTAAAATGGTATTTACTATCCATAGGAAAATTAACATTTAATGTGTTAGAATGTGTGATTTTTAGAAATGTAATGGGAGGATCATTGAAATCACATTTAGAAGATTTGGATTTCAAACCAGATAATTGAGGCAGTTGACTTAAATTCTCATCTCCTTAAAGCATAGTATCTGACTCATTTCTGTACTCCTGTGTTTGGTGCATTACAGATGTTCAGTACATATCTTTAAGCTGAAGGTCCCTTTGGCATCATGGTTTGATAAGCATAGCTGGAGAATCACATAAGAATTCAGATTTTCCTCCTGGCACTTTGAGGAACTTACCTACCTTGATTCTTTTACATCCCCGTTTTCAACTAAAATCCAGTTCCTTCTCTTTCCCCCTGTCTCTGATAAGAATAAGTTCAAATATGGTATATTTGTCTGCTATAGAAGACAATACATGCAGGAAAAGAAATCTAACAAGAGTGTATGCTGTGCCAGATATATTAAATTTTCCAGATAGTAAATCATATCACTAGAAAATATTTTTAAATCTTTTCTCTGTAGTCTCTAATTTTAACCTGTTGAATTATAATTTCAAAAGCTCATTTATTCCTATCTTTAAATATTTCATGGAAGTGATTTTTCTTTTTCAAAGTCTGTTGATACAGTGAATTATATGAAAGTAATTTCCTTTTAGATTGTTCTTGTCTTATTATAATAAACTCTCTTTGTGTTATCCATCGCTTATCTGTTAGTTTGTAGCACTGTGGTGGCTTGCATGTTGCTGGGATGCTAGAAGCTATGCCACTGGTTTTTAATTACCAGCAGGATCACCCTTGGTTGCCAGGATTCAGCTGAGCTTCCAGACTAAGACAGATTAGGAAGAGGGAGGGGCAGACTACTTATGAATGTTTAGCCCTGAACACATTATGATAAGCACCAGAATATTATCACACACAGTGCTGGAAGATGAGCCCCTCAGGTTGGAAGGCACTTAAAAAATGACGGCGAAAGAGCTACCTCCTCAAAATACAGTTGAGCCTAATGACGTGAATGGAACAGAGTTTTAGGGACGTTCATTGCTATTGGGGAACAATGCAGAATGAGGAGAAACAGTGCAAACGTCCATTATTAATTGGCACATGGAATGTACAACATATGAATCTAGGAAAATTGGGAAATGTCAAAAATGAAATGTAACTTACAGAGATCAGTATCCTAGGCATTGGTGGTTAGTGCCATGGAGTCTGTACTGACTCCTAGTGACCCTGTGTTAGGGTTAGGTTTCTGAGGCTATAAATCTTTATGGGAGTAAGAAGGCTCTGTTTTCTCCTGTGAAGTGACTGGTAGATTAGAATTGCTGACATTGTGGTTAGCAACCCCACTCATAACCCACTATGAGCTACCAGAGTTCTTAGGCATTAGTGAGCTCAATTGGCCATTTGAATCTGATAATCATATGGTTTACTGTACTGGAAATGACAAGTTTAGAGGAAAGGCTTCACATTCTTAGTCCATAAAGAATAGTTCTAGCTCTATCTTGAAGTACAATGCTATCTGTGATAGGATAATATCCATACACCTCCAAGGATAATTACAGGTGATTGGAATGCAAAACTTGGAAACTGATGAAGAATCAGTAGTTGGAAAATATTGCCTTGTTGATAGAAATGATGCTGGAAATTATACAGTAGAATTTTATAAGACTAGTGACTTATTTTACTGCAACAGCATAAACATAGCAACATAAAAGGTAACTACACATGGACCTCACCAGATGGAATAGACAGGCGCCAAATTGAGTACATCTGTGGGAAGCGATGGTGGGAAAGCTCAATATCAGCAGCCAAAACTTGGCTAGGGACAGACTGTGGAGCAGCCTTCAATTGCTCTTATATGCAAGTTCAGGCTGAAGCTGAAGAATATTGAAACAACTTCACAAGAGCCAAAATATGACCTTGAATCTATCCCATCTGAATTTAGAGGCTTCTCAAGAACAGACACTAATGACCAAAGACCAGAGGAGTTGTGGTATAACATCAAGAACATCATTCATGAAGTAAGCAAAAGGTCATTAGAAAGACAGAAAAGAAAGAAAAAATGAGTATGAGATGAAATTCTGAAAGCTGGTATTTAAGCATAAAGAAGCTAAGGCAACTGGAATAAATGAGAAAGTAAAAGAGCTGAACAGAAAATTACAAAGAGCAACTTGAGAACACAAAGTGAAGTATTATAATGTGTGAAGACCTAGAGTTAGAAAATAAAAAGAGAAGAACACACTCAGCATTTCTCAAGATGAAAGAACTAAAGGAAAATTTCAAGCCTCGACTTGCAATACTGAAGCACTCTATAAACAAAACATTGAATAATACAGAAAGTGTCAAAAGAAGATGAATGGATACACAGAAGAAGATGAAAGGAATACACAGAGTCACCATACACAAAGGAAATGGTCCATGGTTTGTCATTTTAAGAGGTAGCAAATGATCAAGAACTAATGACACTGAAGGAAGAAATCCAAACTTCACTGAAGGCATTGGTGAAAAACAAGGCTCCATGAGTTGATGGAATACAAATTGAAATCTTTGAACAAACTAATGCTGCTCTGGTGGAGGCACTTACTTTGCCAAGAAAATTAGAAGACAGCTACTTGGCCAGTGGAATGAAAGAGATCCATACTTGTGCCCATTCGTTGACCCAACTGAATGTGGAAATCATTGAGCAGTATCATTAATATCCTATGCCAGTAAAATTTTGCTGAAGATCATTCAAAAACGGTACATTGATAGGTAACTGCCAGAAATTCAAGTCAGATTCAGAAGAGGACATGAAACTAGGGATATCATTGTTGATGTCAGATGGATCTTGGCTGAAAGCAGAGAATATTTACTTGTGCTTTATTGATCATGCAAAGGCCTTAGATAGTGTGCATCATGACAAACTATGGGTAACATTGGGACGAAATGGGGATTACAGAACGATTAATTGTACTCATGAGACCAAAAGATGGTCTTTCGAACAGAACAAGGGGGAACCGAATGGTTTCAGATTAGGAAAGGTGTGTATCAGGATTGTATTCTTTCAGTCATACTTATTCAATCTGCATGTTAAGTAAATAATCTATAGAATAAGGATTATTCTATAATCATGGCATCAGGGTTGGAGGAAATCTCATCAACAACCTGCGATATGCAGATGATACAACCTTGCTTGCTGAAGGGAACAAGGACTTAAAATACTTACAATGAAGATCAAAGATTAACAGCTTTCAGTGTGACTTGCACTTCAATGTAAAGAAACAAAAATCCTCACCACTAGACCAATAAATAACGTTTATAATAAATGGAGTAAAGATTGAAGTTGTCAGAGACTTAATTTTGCCTGGATCCACAATAACACTCATGGAAGCAGCAGTCAAGAAATCAAATGATGTAATGTATTAGGTTAATCCTCTGCACAAGACTTCTTTAAAGTGTTCAAGAGCAAAAGATAACAAAACAGTTTGAGGACTGAGGTGCGAATGACCCAAGCCATGGTATTTTCAAAAGCCCTATATATGCATGTGTGAGTTGGACAGTGAATAAGGAAAACCACAGAAGAATTGATGTATTTGAATTAGCGTGTTGGAGAAGAATATTAAAAGTACTCTGGACTTGCCAGAAGAACAAACAAATCTGTATTGAAAGAAATACAGCCAGAATGTTCTTTTAGAAGCTAAGGTGGTGAGATTTCAACTCTCATACTTTGGACATGTTACAAGGAGGGACTAGTCTCTGAAGAAGGTTATCATGCTTGGTGAAGTGGAGCAGCAGCAAAAAAGAGGAAGAACCCCAATGTGATGTATTGATACAGTGGCAGTGTGGTATATTAATTGTGGTATATTGTTTTTTTTTTAATGAGTACCAGAGTATTGCACAAAATTAAGTGCTCAGCTTCTATCCAAATGGCTGGCTGTTCAAATCCACCCTGAGGCACTGCAGAAGAAAGGCCTGGCCATCTGCTGCTGCAAAGTCACAACTTGGAAAACACATTAGAGTCACCATGAGTCTGAATTGAGTTGACAGCAGCTGTTGGCTTGAATTCTTTTTTA